TGCTGTGTTAGTAATTTTTGCTGTCATGAAGGTTAAATATTTTCTATTGACCAGGGTAATGTTATTTTCAATTAAAAAATTTATTTCTTGATTGCAGCTTTGGACATATAATTTGCATTTAAAATTCAGCATTTTAAGAACTTTATAAGCATAATACCCTAAAGACACCACCAGACACAATCCATATCTAAAGACAATTTTACCGTTCTTTCAAAATTTTTAAACATTTCAGGGTTGGTTGAAAAGACATTTCTCCTTATTTGTTCACTTTTTTTAATAAACAACTATTGTATTTATAAAAATTTTTTGATTTGTTTGAGATATACATATACTATTGTTCACTAAATACAGGCTCAAAATTAACAAATGTTAGATGGTATAAAGTGGAACTATATCCAAATAATGGAATATGAAGAGGATGAATTTTAACAAGTTAATGATCATCTTTTATCTTTTAAACTAAACAATGTAGTAAAAACCTGAACATCTGCCATGAAAAAAAACAATAGAGCAGCAAGTATCTAGCAATGATTTGTCAGTGGGAAAGGGGTTATAGAGTGCAAAATAACTCATGCTCCATAATGCTGTGAAAATGGGTTTGAATTTTATCAAGACTGGAAAACTTGATTTTGTAGAAACAAATGATAATAATTAAAGAAATTATATAGTGTTTGTAGAGCAAATTTTAAGTTTTTTTTCGTATGAAGTTTGAACTTTGTCAAAAACAGATTTGTTATAAAGTAGTTTCACAGTGGAGGCTTTTTTTTTACTAAGTCGGTCCTAAAATAGGTTCGACATATAAAACGTTAGGAACTTGATATAATAGTTAATGATGCAGCAATCTAGTTGTTCTGGCTGATACTTTTAGTATCCGACTAACGGTCGTTTTTATTGACTATAACACCAACTCACTGAGCGACTTAGTAACTAATACCCTACTTATTATAGGTGGGAGAGTCTATTAACAATAGAATAGGTGTGTTCCAGTATAACATATAGGATGATACATTCATCATTGGAACTTTGTTCTTAAAGCCAGATTTTACTTATGACCTTATATATTTAAGTGGTGCAACAGTTAGCAGCAGAGACAATAGAATTCTTAGGATTGTTATTTTATATCTAATTGTTTACATAAAAAGACTCCCTCAATCAAAATCTTATAAATCTGAATTCAAATCCCCTGCCAACATATCATGGATTAGTGTGACAGAGTGCTGTGGAGTAAATATTTGTTAAAGTATTACTTATAAGCTCTACAAAGCGTGATATAACAGTGGTGATGAGTGATTTGTTACACAATTTATAACTATTGTGAAAAGGATTTGGAACTCTTACAACTTATAACAGTAACAAAGGTTCAGGAATTTAGATGAGTTGTAATTGGAGTCACAAGGATTTTGGAAGAATGGATAAAAATGCTATATGATGTTTTTGACATGTCAGTACCACAACATGTCATAGAAACTACATTGACAAGTTCCAGAAAAAAAAAGCATACTGAAAAAGAGGATCCGAGACAGAAATGCTACAAATTCAAGTACATTGGTGAACTTTCCAGGAAGAGGAAGAGAGATAATAATAGTAATAAAAAATATCTTAAAAGGTGTGGATTTTGTGGTGTAAATAGTACACTACTGGTGACTGTATGAACTAGTCCATAACTATGAATAAATAGCTCCAGATCAAAAATAAAAAAAAAAGCCATATGGAGTCAGTCTTCAGACTAATTTCAGCCTTGTATTTTTACAGCAAGTTGCTGAAGCATTACTTTATATTATAAAATAAAATAAGTGCATTATAAAAAAAAGAAGGTCATTCACTATGTTCCCTTTCTTGTAATGGACTGAATAAAAATTGAAAAAAATATATTCAAAACACAAAATTGATAGAAGATTAAATCAAGTCAGACAAACAAAAGCCAAAATAAAGATAAATAAAAACTAATTAGAAGCTGAAAAGATTATAGCTAAAATTAAACAGCAGTTATTTACAGCCAAATCATATTTGTCCTCAATCGTTCATTAGACACTTGATTCTTAATCTCTTACTCACAGTTTTGTAAGGATGGTTTGGAAGCCAAGAGGAGGATCATTAAGATTGTGAAAATGACAATTAGTTGTTTTTAATGTCTATCTAAGAAATAATTTATTGACAATTATATTTTGCCATCTGAGACAAGCTTTAATTAATGTCACAAGGAAATTCTATTGATGATCCTTTGTCATGAAGAAAGATTAGAAAAATTTAAGACATTTTCATGAAACAATAGAAATAATATTTTTCATGCTATAATTCTGCTTGTTCTTTTGTTAACATGTACATCATGCTCTGTCATTACCATAGATAAACAATGGATCATTCCTGCTTGATTGTGAAGATAGCAGAAATGATATAAAGGCCCTGTTTTGTTTTAGAGGAAGTAAGAGAAATGAAAGAAAGGGCAGATAAAAGAGACTGTAACACTTATTATTAACGTCTGCTTCATTGAAATGGAAAAACTTGCCAGTTTTTAATATTTTCATTTGTATCCTCTTACTTCTCTAAATAATGACCTGCATTCATATTTATGGTTGTTATTGAAATCTTTTTTTAAAATTGTTAAGTTCAAATATTTAACAGGGTAATAGGGGAAATACCATGAGTATTTTATAATCATATAAATCGCAAGGATATAATTCAGTTGATGACTTAAGAATTAAGATTCATCAGAGAATTCAGGGAGGAAAACCATGAAATTTTCACAGGTATTTTTAGTTATAATAATAGTATTATTCCCTCTCCAAAAAATAAAACATTCTGCTATATAAAACTTATATCTCTAAGAGGCACAAGGAAAATATTTATCACAAATCAAACTCATACTCTGTGCAATATAAATATAAATGGCTGATATAATATAGCAGAATCATTCTTATTTGACTTGATCAATTGTTGGCTTACAACCACATCATGTTGAAACATTGGTTCCTTTACAGTCACTGAAGTTAAGCAATATGAAGCCTTGTCAGTACTTAACTCTGGTGTTTGTAAACTTTCAATCACTGCACATGCCTGCTTTCTTTTATTCAATTTATTTTCCTCAATTATTGCTTATTCTGGAGGTGCAGGTTGCATTATGGTTCTTACCATAGAAAGCAAAATCATTGAGCTGAGTTCAAATTCTAACTTCGTCTTTTGCAATAATCATTCCTATATATGGATTAAATAGCAAGTTCAATTCTGGGTCAGTGGTGGTGAGTAGCAGCCAGTTCAGAAGAAAGAACACCCTGAATTTAAAACCATAGAGAAACTCAATAAGGAACCACTCCCACATAGTTCCTAAAAAGTTATGGCAGTTCAGAGATGATAATAAAAAAAATGTAATCTGTGCCAACAAGCTGAAAAACTTTATAATTAGAAAATTCATTTGTTACTTGACAGGGTTGATATACTCCTTTCTTGCTCTATACATGTTCAGCTAATGCTGATTTCATAGTCTTTCCAAGAACTATCTATTTTCAACGTTCCTTGAGGCTTATCTTTTTGGAGAGCACCTTGTTTCACTTTGTTCCCTGTTCTAGCTGCATGGGATATTGTATATTTAATTCATGATTAGATATTCCCCTAGTGCTGCTTCTGAATACTTTCCTGATGTTGCAGAGCTCATAGATTCTGGGAATCATTTCTGGTACTTCTAATATCACATAGATGTGTTTGCCTTTGATTCTTGTCCTTATGAACCATACCATTGCTGGTGGCTGTTAATATCACGCATGTAAAATCATTATTTGTTTAGAGGGAATTCTCAGTGCTGATCATCTCACACTGATAAATGTTCCAGTTAAGACTAATCAGTTTTGCCTTGGCATTTTCTTTATGCTGAAGAAATAGTGAGGATCAAAATTCAGGTATTGTTCAGTAAATTCAGGCTTTCAGTTTGTAGATAAATAATTTGCTGTATCAGTTTTCAGACCCTTCAGCTTTCATCATGTTTTTATTATATTGATGGTCAAATGAAGTTCAAATGCTTCAGCACTGCCTGTATGTTTTCCTGGTATGGCATGTGTATGAATAATTTGTATTTATAGTTCCTGTCAATACTATTCTTACCAATATGTTTTGACTTTAGTAAGATCACAAGCAAACTTTAACACAAATTAGTTTTATGCTGTAAGATTTTTGCTTTATATCTGCCTGGTTCAAACAGTTTTGTTTAACAATAAATTATTGATTCTTATCTATTTTTGTTTTAGTATTAACAGTAATGAAATGTGTGAGGAGCCTAATAGTTATCATTGAGGGAAGTGGAATTAGTGAGTCAACATCAAGGTTTGGTCTCATCTGTTGCATTCATTTATCATTAATGCTATAGTTTAAATAGCAGAGTAGCCTGGTATCCTTGGGTAGCAGACAGTCTAGAATAAGAACTACTATGAATTCAAAAACTGTAGTAAAGGTAATGTAGGAACTGCTCTTCTATCATTCTCAAGAAATTATAACAATACATATATATTAAAGAAAAGGAAGTTGTAGAGAGTCATAACTGTCTGAGTTCTGAAGAGACCTGGAACTTCTGGTGAAGAATGACATCTTATTAATAAAAAAAAATTACACTGAATTTAGATTACAGATTTATTTTAATTTTCAGGTTTTTATGAATTCATTTTACCATTTTCTGTATAATTTGTTAGAATTATAAAGATTTTATTTATTTTAGGTTTAATGGTATGTGAATCTAAAAGAAACTGATGGTCTGTTGTGGATGCACCAATGACAATGGTTTAGTATTAAGTGAACAGGTGGGGAAAGATAGATAAACCAGGTATGCAATTCTTTTGAGAATAATAATTTTAGTCATACGGGTCATACTAATTAACCCATAGTTAAAGGGAGAAAAGTTGATCATACATTTCCCAAAGGTATTTGCATGTAAGTGAATATAACAAATCCAATTGGAACTTGCTACTCCAATTAACAATTTCTAGCCATTATCTATTGCCCCACCTATGTATCCAATCTTACAGCACCTGGTATTCCCATGTGGTCACCCATCTAGATACTTACCAGGCTTGATGTTGCTTAACTTCAGTGACCATACAGGAACCAGTGTTTCAACATGATGTGGCTGTAAACTATGAAGTGTTGTTATTTCTCCTTGTGAGTGACTATTGAAGAAAATTCCTTTGGTATGAATATTTACTGTCTCAAATAGGCTCACAAAATCAGTAAAAAATTGCTGGTTAAAATTTATTGGTTTTAAATCTCTAAATCTTCTGAGTTGAGAGCCACTTTTTTACACTGTGGACTAATCAATTATTAGACTTGGAAAAAAGTCTGGTTCTGAGATGAATGAAATTTAGAAGTATGGCACAGGCATTCACTTCTTGCAGAAGACCGACATTTTTTTGACTATGGTCAATTGTTTTACCAAAAGAGTTACAGTTATCAGTAATTGATTTTAACAGAAACTGAATTAATAACACAGAATTTTGGTTAATTTTCAAATGTGTTCACACACATCTCTCTCATACGTACATGTCTATAGTTCAAAATATGTATATTTAGGCAGTATATTTTCATTCAAACAGGTATGGTTAAATAATTTAGATGTATTATGTCTATGTTAATTTTAATTCTTTTAAGTCCACAAATTAATTTTTATGGTGGCTGTAAAAAAACTGATTAAGAAAAATTCAAAAATTTTCTTTCAAATAATTTCAAAACAATTTTGAATTTGAAAGACTGTAAACAAACAGTGAAAAATAATATTTTAAATTTATGGAGCTACTGTATGCACATCCACACATATCTTAACCCCCTGAAGATGATCTCAGATGAGATTGAAAGTACTTGGGAAAATAAAAATTATTTGAAAGAAAATTTTGGAATTTTTCTTAAGCAATTTTCTACAGCTACCAATAAATTAATTCATGGGCTTGAAAGGATTAAAACTAAAATAAATAGACATAATACATCTAAATAATTTGACCAAACCTGCTTGAATGTATCTATAGGTATGTATATATAAAACTGTAAATAGAAGTAAAACCTGACAAGTCATTTTCTGAAACTGTAGTAAAAATTAGTTCAATATTGTTTTACTATTTACTTTTTATTTACAATTTTATTAACTACCATGTGTGTGTGTATATATATATATATATATATACACACACAACTATCTGAAGGTGCAAATGACCTAAAGATTAACAGCAAAGAAGATGGAATTGGAGAGATAATTTCAGATCCTACCTGAGGTAGCTCATATTTCCTTCACAGTAATACACTTGAGAAAGGCATGAGCCAATATTTTTATCCCCACCTAGTAATAGGAAAAAGTTGAATATTAGATTGGGCTCTTTAGCCTTGGTTGAAAAATAGTCTAGCAGAAAAACAATTTTAAATTCAAAATCATAGAGTTAAATATGGGATGAGGAAATCTGTCCTATAAAAATTTATTTCCTACTAAAATTACTTTAACAATACCAGTTGCTGTGCAAGAAGTTTACAGGAATAAACAAAAGTGCAACTGGTTAGACAAATATGGGAATGTGAGGGATGGTCCGAAAGTCGGGCAGAGTACTGTGAGACAGGAGGATATCTTTGGTAACAAAGAAAAGAATACTGAACTATTACGTGACATCTGTTCTTCTTTATGGCAGCGAATGTTGGCCGATTTCCTCAAAGATGAAGAGGAGACTCAAGGTGACAGAGATGTGGTTCTACAGAAGGATGCTAAGGATATCATGGACCGAGTGTGTGAGCAATGATGAGATTTCAGAGATGTTGCAAACAAAGAGTAGGCTTATACTTAATATCAGGAAGAGGTAGCTGAAGTTTCTGGGATACATAATGAGGAAGGAGGGCCTGGAGAATCTGATACTCACAGGTTGAATAGAGGGCAAGAGAGACAAGGGAAAACGACATGTGATGTACCTGGCAGACTTAAGCAAGTGGATAACAGAATGTGGTCTGGGAGAGGAAGCAGAGGGAAAGAACTTGTTGAGAGCTGCAAGCAATAGGAGGAGGTGGAGAGCCATGATCACTTATGTCCTGAAACGACATGTCACTTAGAAAGAAAGAATATATATAATTAAACAAATTCAAATGTGTTTTTGTTATAAAATGATGTATTTTAAAGAAAATATGGTTTTGGAAAAGAAATCCAATTTTGCAATCAAGTCTCCTGAAGAGTTGTACATGAAATTTTAAGTCGAGATATTTATAATTGAACAGATTTATTTTATTATTTTTGTTAGGTAGATATTTGTTGTATCCTTAAAGAGGTTACAAACAGACAAAGGTGGTACTCAAGTGAAGAAACAGTAACACACACATAGATGAAAGAAGAGGTTTATTGTAAAAGAGAATACACTGCTGAAATTCTGGTATATCCTATGCTCACTAAATATAGTTGCTGATATAGTCAGTTCACATAGGTAATAGGGAGTGTGGGATATTCCATTACAACAATATTATATGAAATGGATTAAATTTTCTGTTTGTTTTTTCATGGACACTCTTATTTGAGTAAATGCTCTGTTTTTTATAATTAAACAGTATTAATTACATTTAACAGACTGATTGTTTGATAAATTTCATAGGAAATATGCACCCTCTAACAGGAAATGAACCTGTAACCTATATGGAACCATTATTTAGCCTGACATGCTATAATCATTCAACCACAGAGAACTTTTGGTTTAGCAAATATATAGGTAGATATATAGATAGATATGAACAGCCATGTTTGTTTTAAGCCACTTTTAAAATGCTGTGCTCCTACAGAGTTGTCTTCTTCTAGACTCACTGCCATCCAAAGCTAAAGATTCCAGTCTACCCTGTTATTTAAAATAAATGAAGGAAGAAGTGTTGGATTCATGCCTTTTCGAATGGTATTAAAGCCAAATTGAATACAACAGACTAAGCAGGAATTTGAACTCACCACACTGATTCCTCTTTCAGCATTAATAACTATTATGCTATCCCCACCATCTGTAGATGGGTAAAATAGGTAAGTATGAATAAATAAAATAATTCCCTTTCAAAAATGGGATAATATACATAGATATCAAGCATTATGATATCATGACAGCCAAATGAACAGGTACAAAACACTGTAATATTTGAAAGTCTCTTAGCCAAGTGTGTTCCCTTTAAGGTAGCCACTCGAGAAAAAAAAAAAATGAAAGCTGTGTTTTGCACAAGTTGCATGCAAATATGCAAACTTATACTTTTATTTTGCAATTGATTACCTGTCAGGAATTCTTTCCTTGTTTCTCTGCTTAAAAGATAGTGTACTATATAAAACTGATTTTTGACCTTGCTTCTGAGCACTTGGCTCTGTGAAGTTAGGTTCAAGGCGATCAAACCAATGCTGACATGTTTGTTCATCTCTTGTGCTTCTTAATTCCTTCTTTGTTGCTGTTTGTCATTCTTGGAATTAATGGATGTTTGGGAATCAGTTCCCTGAAGTGGATTGGTCCATATCAGAATTTCTTTACAGAAAGTTGAAGAAAAATTCTTGCCAAATGATTCTTTCTATTTTCTCAATGAAATACCAACTGTTAAATCAGTGAAAAAGGTAAACATGAAGAAATTTTTTTTCTTAATGAGAACCGAATAAGAAAAATTAGTTGAAGCTTAAGAAATGAGTATATTTGAAAACTAGATTTTTATATAACATGTGCTATCATAGGCAGGATTTATTATATCAATCAACCAAAAAATTAAATTCCTCTGGTTCCATTTATCATGATACAGAACGGATTAAAAGCATATACAGGGAGTAATAATAAATGAAAATTCCAATATTATATTTTAAAAATGAACAAATTAAACAGAAAAAATCAGGTCACTCTATGATTGCTACTGTTAACATGTAACCCAGTACTATCTGACACTTGGTGATGTCATTGGGGACTAAACTGGTTCCCTTATCAGGCTTTTTTTTTTATGAGAAGGGTGGCAGACATGTTGTAGGATCAATGACCATCTACCACAATCAGGTAAACTGGGCTCCACAGCTATATGTCAATAGATTGATGACATGGCTTTGCTGGATGGAGGACTTCCTAGGTGGAAACCTCTTATCAAATCAGTGGCCATATATACATGACCAAGCTAAGCCTTTAAGTTGGAGAACATCAGCTGTGGTTTGATCTGGAGGGGGATGGGCTCCACCAGGTCTACTTGCCAAAGATAAACTATGCATGAAATACCTCTCCAGCTTTAAACCCAGATGTGGAGAAGGAACTGGTCAGGTGCTCAGCTGTGTTATGCTCTGGTTCTATGACCACACCCAGCCAGGAGACTGATGATGATGACATAAAGCAAACAAAGTAAAGTGCTAAAAAGTTAGACACTAATATACTAGATGACTTCATCCTCCCCACTTGTAGAAATGAACTCAACCAGATTATATATCTTTGACATTATTTGTAGCTTTGTCAAATGTTGAAGGGGGACAGAATTTTAAACTGGATACTGAATGATATTAAGGGCTCAAAAGATGGTAACTCTGATAACTACTTACCAAAAGCTACTGTTTTGTGGAATAAACTCCTGAGAGGCTCACTTCAATCTTAAACTCATCAAGTCTAAGGTCAACCATTATCTGTCTTACATAACCTACAATTCTTATGTCCATAAAACAACTCCATTTGTTGTAATTACTCATCTATTGATTATCCAAGGAATAGTTTTCATGTAAATTAAATATATATTTCTGCTAGAGGTCTATATTGTGTGTTTATATATTAGGTGCATTCAAAAAGTATTATCGTTATTTTTTCTATCAAAATTAATGGCAAAATCCTTTGGATGAAAGATGAAGCCACCCTTCCTGTGTATGCATGAAAGTTTTTACACTAGTAGGCTGCATCAGTTTCTGACTGTTACACCTAGATTACTGACATGTAGTGCACGTTCATCAAATTTTTGTTTTCATGCAAGCTGGCTGATTGCATTGAGCAGAGATATTGCATCAACTTTTGCATAAAGCTTGGTGATACTCAAGTTCAAGTAATAAGAAAATTCAGCTTACCTTTGATGTTGCCATGTGTAAAACTCAGATCAAGGGGTGGTACAACACCTCAGTCAAGAACAAGGTATGCTCAGGCAAGCCATG